ATATATATATATATATATATATATATATACTGAATCTGTAACATGTTTACTTTATCATAGAAATTAAAGTTATATAAGTAATAATATAAAGTCTAACAAACATGGAAGCTTTTAAAAAATTAAGACATAAAAGGCTTTTGGCCTGATTGCAAGCAGTGTTTACAACAGAAGGTTCGGTGTGTGCGTGTGTGTGTGTGTGTGTGTGCGTGTGTGTGTGTGTGTGCGTGTGTGTGTGTGTGTGTGTGCGTGTGTGCGTGTGTGTGTTCAGTATGTGTACCCTTTTGAATGCTGAGGTGGATGTGTGCGATGCAGACTGATGGAGATTACAGAGCTGTCTCTTTCAGGTCATTGAGGTTCGGCATGCGAGACCTGGATGGGCGTCCAAAGCCATGCCCATTCTGGCCCCCCTTGACGCCCATTTGTTCTGGGTAGGGGTTGCCATCAGGCCGACCCAGGGCAGACGAGTGCCAGCCGGACTCCAGTTGTCCCGGCAGAGAATAGGCTGCCTGTCGGCTCTTGAGCTGGGGTGTGCTGACCCCTGAGTGACCCCGGCTTTCAGAGAAACCCCCCTGAGTGGAGGCTGAGTTAGGCAGTGGCTGGTAGCGCATATCAGAGGACGCCGTCTGGTTGGAGGAGGAAGATGAGAGGTGCAGCAACTTGCGCAGGGACTTGAGTGGCTGACTCTGAAAAATAAACCTCCCATCAAGCCAAACATTTCAAACCAGCACATATTAGATGTAACATATTCTTTTTGTGTTGAGACTCACTGGAGAGTGTGAATTGGACAGTTTCTCAGGTGTCCAGTCCTTATCCCTGTCTCGTTCCTGGTTCTTGTCTCTGCTCTTGTCTCGAGCTCTGTGGCGGCTGGACTGATGACCTGAGGACCTGGAGGACTTCTGGATGACCGTATCCATACCTTCGTTAGCAACCTGTCGAACAGAATGAAGAAAATGTTTGAGTTCCTTTAAAAAAGGGCTTTAGAGACAAATCTTCGGCACTTCATTACGTTTTACCAGTGTTAATATCACCGTGGCTGAACAAAAATGCAACTGTTTTTTTATTGACTTAAGTAGAGTTGATTTTAAGATTCTTCTGCTGACATTTAAGTGTGTTAATGGCCTTGCACCCTGATACCTTTCCGACCTCCTTCATCCTTATGCTCCTTCTCGGACCTTGAGATCATCAGACCAGCTGCTTTTGGCCGTACCAAAAACCAGCTGAAGCTCAGAGGAGATCGGGCGTTTTCAGTCATGGGCCCTAAACTCTGGAACAATCTGCCCATCAACATTCGACAGGCCACCTCAGTCTCTATTTTTAAATCTCTCCTCAAAACACATCTGTACTCATTGGCATTTAACACAGTGTGATCTCATTTTGTGGGGTTTTGGTTTGGTCTGTTTCCTCGTGTTTCCTGCACTCAGTGTTTTCCCTTGTGTTCAGCCCCTGTCTCACCTGTGTCTAATGTTAATCACTGCAGGTGTCTGTTATTGTCCTAATCAGTGTGTGTGTATATATTCAGTTCACTGGTGTCTTGTCTTTGTCTCGGGATTATCCTTCCATGGTGTCGTGTTCAGCCTTTTGTCCTGTCAGCCCTGATCTGCCTGTTTCCAGTTTTGTGAGTAGCTGCCCTGTCAGCATTTTGATTTTGTTTTGTTTAATAAATATATTTTTATTATCCCTCGAGCGTCCTCGTCATCCTCCTGCACGTGGGTTCAAACACTCCTGACGGCCAAACAAGACACGTTTGGTATTTCGTTGTTGATGATTGTGTTCATCCATTTTGCTTTTACTCCCTGACATTTAACGCAGGGTGATTTGAGTTAGTATTTCATTGTTTCTCATTATATTTCATGTTTGTATGCTTTTATTGATGTTGCTGTAATATCTTGTTATTAATATTTGATGCTGTGATCTTTTCTGGTAAGCACTTTGATATCAGTTACTGTTTTAAATGTGCTATATAAATAAATGTGACTTGACTTGACTAAGTAGATAATGCAAATTAAAACAAAAGCACAAGATATGTATGTAAAACTTGGCTGTAAGAAAATAATATCACATCTCTGTACATATCTGATTCTCAAGCAAAAGTAACATGATCTCCAGTTACATTAAGCTGCTGTAACTGGTCATAATGAAAGCTTCTGTACAATGTAAGAACTTTAAAACAACATTAATACCCTACATATAAACCATGATAACAAACATTACATTGCAGTCACCCAGTAATATTAATATTACCCAGTCATATGCTCATTGTGCAAATGGCCCCAGGATTCTGAGCACGGTGCCTTTATATGTGCTGTCAATGCTCGTTTGTTGTTATCTGTCTCTTAGAACTGTGCAACTTAAAGAAACACACATGTAGTGTATTTCTTTAAGTCCTTGGAGTATTTACATAATGTGTAAATACAATGTTGTTCTTAATACAGCAACATTTCTTACTTGCACAGAAATGTACTTAGGAAAACCTCATGTGCAAGTTGCTGTTGTAAATTTGGCTTGGACTTTACTTAAAGACTGGGAGAGCAGAAGATACATTTTCAGAGTGAGATGTGCCAAAATTCAAGTTCAAGTAAATTTTATTGTCATTACAATCTCATGTGGTACATGAGGTGGAACGTAACTATGTACAAAGGTTTCCGGTTACACCCAAAAATAGCAAATATAAAATATAAAAAGACACAGTAAACAAGTGGAGCAATGGAAAGCAAGAAGACAATCCAGAAGCTGGTGGGTGAGGCCGTGAATAGATCCTGACGGGAATGTTAAGTGCACGTCCACAGCAGTAGTGATTTTAGCATCTTTCTGTGGGTGCACAAGAGCCACTAAATTTTAACTCAGCACCACTGAAAAATAAAGAAACCATCATTAGGATTGTGTAAGAAAACTCAGTTCTCAAACCTTAGATTCACCAAAATATTGAATCAATTTGGAATAAATATGGAATAAATGATGACACTAAAACGGGCCAGTAAAATCTATGATTTATTTTGTTGAATGAGTTGGATCCTTGATGCCACCTGTCAATCAATCTAGTAGGCTCATCAGCAACTGATCAATCGACGACCTCAGTTAGTCCCGAAGTGAACGCCCCTGTTTTGCATTACAAACGCTTTACGGTCAGAGGGATTTTGTGAAACATCATGAGAAAAAAAGCTAAATGTTGTCAGTGGAGAACAACAGACAAGATTACCTTGAGCATTTGGAGGGTGGAATAAGTTGATTCCATTTCCAAAACCTAAACGGAGTCTGGAAAAATGTAAACGATAGATAAAGCCATGCAGCCGACCTCATGAGCAGCTGAGTACAACAGTTATAAACGGGACGTACCACGTGTTCATCTGTACGACGGTAACAACAAGTAAATCCTCTATTTTCTGTCATAATTACATTGCATGCTTGATGGTTTAATTTAAGGTTAATGCTTAAAGCTAGTTGTGCTTTATCTTGTGTGTTTTATATGTTGTATGTATGTTTATATGTTGCAACTTCTGGTTGCATAAGTTTAGTCTTTTTTATGATCAGTTAACGCTAAACTGATTTTGTACAAAGCATTTAATAATAAAGCAGAATGCGGATTGCTACGTCTGTAGCATCATAGCTAGCACTAGCTTAGTACTACTTTAGTGCTGGCAGTTGTCGACGGGTGGGGGTGGGTAGGATGTGAGAGAAGAGGAGCATGCTCTATTCACAAAAGGAGAGCTGTTGGTCAGGCTACTTCTTGTGCCATTAACTCTAAAATAGTTACTGAATCAAGTGTTTACTTACGTAGGTAAAAGTAGATGTTAAACAATCTATTAAAAACACCAGAATGCAGGAAATGGCATCTACTTTATTCAAAATTTTCTGGGGGAGGACTCCCAGACACCCCCCCCTCCCCCAACTCCACATTAAAAATGTTCTGACGCCAATGGTCACTGTGTTGTTCAACATGAGAGCCATTGTCAGCACTGGGGACTAAGCACCCATAAAGGTCAGATTGTACCATACCATACCATACTGTGACGGTCAGCGGCCCCCGCTGACCCCCCATCTGTTTACGTCTCTGCTCCTCATGCCACGTTTCTGCCCATCCTGCCATAGTTTGTTTCCCTGCTTTGTTTGTCTACTGCTTAGCCTGCTGCAGACCCCATGAACATCAAACCAGCTGCAGCTCCCCAGGCCTCCATGACAGCTGCAGATCTGACCCCCATGCCTGCATCACCCGCTGCAGATCTGAC